GTATTTCTTGGAAAACGATAAATTCATGATACAGCAGTAAAAACGTTGCACCTTATGAAACAGAACAGAAGCCAAACGTAGCAATTAAGGTGCCAATTGCAAGAGTCGCATATACAGCAACCATACTCGCTCTGTCATCAGAAAACTTCATATTGCATCAAAAGTTTTATTCTTGTGAAACATTACAGACATAGAAAATCATAAAAGATTCAAATATTATATACTCGTATCACTTTTAACACAAATAATGTTGTGTAAATCGTGTTTATCATGTAAACTGCAAATATGAATAATTCCAGTAAAATACATTAAACGCGTGTTACCTAAAGCAATTACTGGATTCCTCCTTACATGTGTTCAACCAACAAGCAATTCTATTGCATAAAATCATACTGTACATTAATAATTACGTCTTAATTAAACGTACTATCTTTTCTGAACGTTTAGTTGACCTATACTGTTTCATTGATGTAAACCAATAGTAGCGGGTGTCCGAAACCAAGATTTTCTCGACTCGCACATTACCAGCAGTGTGAATGTGACATATTTTGTATTCAAAATTAAAACATTAAATAAATAATGCAACATTTTGTAGAGTAAGACTGTTAACCTTCATAAAAGGGCAATGCCGACAAAATGGTATGTCTTATAATGGACAAATCAATTACTAGTAACTGAGGAGTGCTGCAGGGACCATAAGTTTAACATAGGCGTCGGAAGCAAATTAAAAGTGGGGTGGCTAATTGAAAGTGGGGGGGGGGGGGTGCTAAACCAACGAAAAAAGGTAAGCCCCAATTTTCAATGCCTATATTATGTATATCTTTGCAAAAAAGGGGGGGCTAAGCCCCCCCCCCCCCCCCCCCCGGGTTCCGACGCCTATGTTTAAAAGCCAAACACCCATGTCCGGTGTGCTCTAATTCATATATTATTGAATAGAGGTGAAATATTGAGCTTATCTATCTAATTTTCAATATACGGTACGTGGCATTTACCCCCAGGAAAAATGTTCAGAGTATCAATGAACAGAAATCAGTATTGTTTGCTTCCGTGGAGAAAATACTTGCAAATAAAGTGTTTAATTAATTTATCTTGGCCTCTTTCAAGTGTTAAGAATACTAAATTGATTACAAGTTGAGTAATATACTGTAAATTTCAATTTATTGGAATTCAGATCTAAGGGCAGATACACAAGTTGAGTAATATACTATTGGAATTGAGATCTAAGGGCAGATCACTCTAACTACAGAAAAATACCATAGAATCGGAACTCTTTAGTGTGCGGTGTAGAGAGGATTCTTAGGAGCGCAGGATAGTAAATTAAGACTGCAATGATGGATGTATACTTTGAAGTCTTTGATACGATTGTTCGTAGTGTTGTTCCTTAGTAAGAAATAGTTTGTAAACAGTGTTCTTATTACATGAATGGGATATAAATATAAAATAAATTGGATTTTCGTAGCGATGTATAGCTTTCAATAAAAATGCACCTAATTTAGATAGCTCTTTCACCTTTTGACTACAAATTAAACCTACCAGTTTCATTTTTTAATTGGTTGTTTGACTGACAACGTGTTGATCTACTCATTACAAATGTCGTTCTCGTAAACAATCATTAATGCGATTGGTCAGTATTATCGGTTCGATCAAACAAAGTGACATGTACGCTGTCACTGGAATGATAGTAGTAAGCAAGATACATGTACCTTCAAAAAGGTAATACTTTAATTTTACGTTTAAAAAAAAATCTAGTATAATATTCAATAATTATGAAATTTAATTTACACAGAAAAAAATCAGAAGAAATAAGGCAAGACATTTTTAAATTCTATTTAATTGGTTTTATTAATAATAAAAAAAAAAATCACGTACTATACATGCTTCCTTTCAACAATTTCACCTTGATTTGCTGGTAAGTTGATATTTAAAAAACATAATTCCATTCCATATTACAAGGTTAAATGTATTTATAGAAATCATTTTTTCCCAACTGTTTCAGTCCTCTGCGATTGAATCGGACGTTGTAGACGTTAAACTGTTTTGAATGTGACAAAAATGGCAGTTCGTCGTCCATTTCTTCTCGTTTCAGGATTACTTCAGCAGGTGATAAATTAAATTACAACATCAATGCTATATGTACAAGAAATAACTGTTTCCCTTAGGTTGAAAAAAAGAAGTTATGATCGCGCGGGCCATTTTAGCCAGTCAGTCTGGATAAGGCAATCAAACAATTTTTAAAGATGGCCTTAGTGTGTAGTGGGGGGCCTTTTTTTCTGTATAACACGATTCAACTAATTTTGGCCCACAGTGGAACATATAGATGCACATTGTCCGAAATCAAAGTTATAAATAACACGAACAAAACAGAACAAAACAATACAATTTCATTGTATAATGAACAGAAAATTAGCAGTCAACTTTAAAGTGCATAAAATTCATTCAAACAGTATCTGCATGAATAATTATTGTAATATACCTATATTGTACACGTACATGTATGCTCTTTTCTTATATTATAATTTTTAATTGAGTGTTGGCATAATAAAACAGCAAAGTTAAAATCATCCTTTGACATAATCCATTTAAACAGGTCGACATATAACTTAAAGCAGCGATTTGAAAAAAAAAAAATAAACGACTTTAAAAAGACTCTTCCTGTAGGATATTTATACAGTTGGCATTTTAGCAAAAAAATGTAATTCGTCTTCTGTGGAACTTGAAGCACATTTAATTATTTCTTTTTTCTTTCAAATCTGCATGTCTCTACCCGTGAGCAATTACTATGATTCTAAATTTCATGAGAAGATTACCTTCTTGCGACTTGATGACGTAACAATAGACGAAACGTCATTTTTGATACCAAACCTCGGGATTTGCACACTAAATTGTGTCTCTTAACTGACAGTGAAACGAATGGACGAATCACAATATCTTCATTTCTTAAACTGTATTTTTCGGCATCAAGAGATGATGGTTTCAATCTGCTTTTGTAATACATGTTTATTATCAGGAGTGTCTCAATATAAACCAGAATTTTTTATTCTTGTCGTAAAATATGAAATAAATGCCTTGCAATCAAATTCATTTATAACTGAATGTAAGAAAGAAATCCGTCACCAGGATAAAAATAAAATCAAACAAATGAACAATGAACGAGTTAACAAATGGAGAGGAAAACAAATAGAAAGGAAGATATACCTGTGATCTTATCTGCAAAAGAAAGGTAATACCATTTTGTATTAAATCTGTATAATACAGGTGTATTTTACAGTCCATATACATGTACTTGAAATATATATTTAATGTAGGTCCTAATGTTTTCACATTTTGGTAACATGCCATACTCAGTTAAATATATGACCCACGTCTAAGTGAAAGTTCGTATCGTAATGTGCACACTTCACACAGAGCCGAAAGTAATCGTAGCTACTCGGCCGTTTCCGTAACCCCAAATTAACTCTTTTCGGTTACGGAAAAGGACGAGCTTGACTGGAGTGAATCTGACGTCACAGCGGAAGTGACGAGGGGAGCGTCTGCAGTGCCTTGTAAAATCGGAGGAGGACGCTGTCATACACCTTGTCGTGTTTATCTCCAAAATTAATTTATTGTCGAGCGTTTCAATCTTTGATTCAGCGATTTTTTTTTTGATGCGGCGATCGATGCTTCTAGAAAGAGAACAGCAAGGTTAGTGAAAATATCGGCGTGGTGGAAATGCCAAAGATTAACCTCGAAGGGTAACGTTAGCCTATAGAATTCAGCGATGGAAGTAAGATTTACGTGGAATTATGTAATCTTTGGGAGTACAGTGCTTGGATAGTAATTGAAAATCGGACATTTGTTGTCTTTGGTGCGTTCTTTACATTGGATCAGCGATCCAATGTAAATCCCCGTTAGGGTTAGTTGTGCCAGGCATGACTAACCCCCCTATCACGCGTGCGCCAACTAACCCTGTTGACACAAAGGGAGACTGACTAAGCCCTGGGACTAAGTCAACAAAACAAAATAAAATACATAAAAAAAAGAACACCAGCACAATCAACACCTTAAAATACAATAAAATACCTAATATATAATCAAATAAAAATTAAAAATAAAATTTTAAATATTAACTTTAACAAAAATTAAGGTATGAATGACAGGGATGTTGAAATCATTCCTTGAGTTTCAACTCAGCCAGTTATTATGAAGAAAACTCATATTAGTTGTCAAAGATAGTATGGACTAACCCAATATTTATGAGAAAATTCATGTTAGTTGTCTAAGTTAGTCGCTCTAAACACAACAAACAGTAGAAATTCTTGTTAGTTGTCTAAGTTAGTTTAACTAAGGGTTTTCTTCTTGAAAACCCCAAATTCCAATAATCAAAATAATTCCAAATTCAAATAATACACTGTTTATAATGAAAAACTGGAAAACATTCTCTTCTCCATACAGAAATTCAATCACCATTGTGACAAATTATGGTATACATGGTATATATATGCGATGAGAAATGGTGTACAGCTTAAAAGTTATATACTATTATTATATTGAAAAGACTTTTGTGTGGGAAGGTTAAACAGATAAAACAGGTACAAACAGATAAATTATATTTATTACAAATTAACTCGTTTAAACAGTGGATATAGCTCATATGATATCATTTTCATATCCATGGTTGTGTTGTCACAATCCAGGTTTTGCATGAATTTGATCATGAAAGTCGTATATTGTTGATGTACATGTCTAAAAAGTGTAAAACATGAAATAGGTATGTAATAATGTGATAAAAAGAATCTCCCCATGGTTTGTAATTGGATATGATTTTTTTTATCCAACTCATTGTGTGGTTTTATCCCCTCACAAAGGCTTAGGGATAAAAAGAACACAATTCTTGGATAAAAAATCATATCCAACCACAAACCATGGGAAATCATATATATCTTGGTCCTTAATTTTCATTGAAAAGTTTGCAGACAGAGCAAAAGATTTTATAATATATTATGTCATTTTTTTTATTTCAGGAATTGATTGGCCCAGTGATATTTCTATGGAAACAGTTTCCACGGAAACAGGTCTCACACCTTCATGCAGAAGACATTTTGATGGTGACATATCAGGTAACAAAAACAAGCGGTTTTCATGATTATCCTTAATATGGGTGGATCCAAGAATTTTTCATGCTTGGGTGTCATCTTGTAAAGGGGGGGGGGGCATATTACAGCCCTTCCAACCCCTTCCCAACTTGATCCATCAATGCATTATGCCCCTTTTAAAGCATTCATCAAATCTTTTCATGCTCACAAGTTTGTCCACAAAAAGTTGTCTTATTATTTACCATAAATATAAATTTTATTAAGGTTTATCAGAGAATTCACCAGAAATTAAGTTAATTATATCTCCTTAAAAACAAGTAGAAAGGAAGTAGTTTGGGTATACCTATTAATTACCTAAGATGTCAGTGTGTCAATAAATGATCATTGATAATTTTAAAGGTCCTCATATACCCAATGACTATTTTGAGAGTGATCATAATTATCGACTCAACATTCATAAATATTTTCTCTCCTAAATGCAGTCAAGTTTTTGTTAAGTATTTTAAAAAGACAAGAACCAAGATTTATTCCAAATATAAACCTGTGGCTCTTTAAGTTGATAATACACCGAGAAATCCAAATATTTTTCTTGACGAAACAGTCAAGAGCCAGGTATTGTGTCGTTTGGCCTCGCGAGCGATTTAAATATTTGATCTTTGTTCTCTCTTCTCTGATGGCCTACAATTGTACTGTTGTCTTGTTAAACTGTGCGGTGAAGCATGTCCTGTCTTTTTCGAGGTTTTTTAGCCTGCCCAGGTAGAGAGAGAGAGGGGATCCCATTTATTTATTTTTTCTTCACGTTTTCTGATATAAAAGATTTGTCATTCATGACTACTCTTGAGTCGTTAAGTTTTTTGGCACGAGGCGACGAGAGAGAATTTTTGGGCGAGTCCCTTGAATGTTTACTTCAATGTCATTTTAGTGCACTCTGTAAAAAAAAAAATAAAATAGGTGCCTTAAAACTTCCACATTGCAAATAATTTTAAAACAACAATATGATTCTTCAGAAATGTAACTGCATTTTTCACATGTTGTACTACTAAAATTTAACACTTGCATTTATATAGCCTATAAATATTATCAAAATATATGTCATAAAATTTGCTTAATGTAAATTTGTGGACATATACACTTGCATGAAGAAATTGCAGTTAAAGGAGAATAGAAATGGACATCTGCATGAGACTTTTTAAATTATTTAAAATTATAAATTTTTGTGAAAGAAAAATTTCTGGCTTAAAAGCAAGAAAAGCTTTCAGCATGATTGACATCTTTTCTAACATCATTAAAAATGTCAATTCTGAAATTTAGGACTTTACAAATTTCTTAAAATATATATTTGAAAATACTTATATATCTTAATTAATTTCTGATTTAAACACTTTTTTGTGATATTGCATGTTGATATTTTTTGGTTAATTATTTCATTTAACCCGAAACCGTGCTTCCAGATAAAGTGAAACTATAAAAACCATGAACTGGAACCCCGAAAAGTGTTGAAAAGGTTAACTTTATATATGGTTATATTTCATGGTGGGGAAATACATTTTTGATCTGTTTGCATATTTGTATTAAGTGAGGGTGTTTTAATAACACAGAACCAAGTCAAGTAGTCTAAAGGTTATAGCATTTTAATTCCTATTAGTTGTTAATACAGTATTGTTAAAAATGGATTATAGTAGTGTTTCATGGAGTTTCTCATGTTCCATGAAACAAAATTACAGTTGAACTTCAGTATCTCGAACACTGATATTTCGAATATATATACTGATAATGGACATGTTGAAGTGAATTGGAAGTCCCAACCACTTATTCCTCGAGTTTTTAACCCTTGATATCTTGAATACTTGGATATCTTGAAGTTGTTTCTGGGTCCCGTCGTGTTTGAGATAACAAGTTTTGACTGTATTAAAATGTTCCTCTTTTCATCATGCTCAGCCTATTATACAAAGTGAAATGACATTTACCTCCCTGTTATCTATTCCATAGAAAGTATAGAGAGATCAAGATAGATATTAACAAATAATATTAAGGGAAAAAATATCATTTTTGATTTTTGTTAAAAATGCATTTTTAAATGAAAATCGATCAGTTTTCTACTTCCAATTACAAAACGATTATTGATTATGATTTCAAACTGATCTCCCATCACTATAGTTTTGTTGCTTTTTCATAAAATGTAAACATTTCTCAATTCAACTTTTTTTTTAGAATAGCTGGGCAAATTTCAAGCAAATTTATTATAATGTACACCGCATATTCTTGTTGATGTAAAGTCATATAGTCCAGATCCATTTCCAAAGGGGAGATAAATAAGAAATATATAGAAAGGGTGGATTTATTAAAAATTTTGTTTCCACAAAGGCAGAAGTGAGAAAATTTGGTGTGGAAACTTCCATACTATACATGAAATTCAAGTTCAAACGATGCCCATGAGTTTTGCAGGGGCCATAAAAATAGTCAAATGTTCAGCGTTGTCCCTAAGACCTGGGGCCAGGGAATTTTCCCGCCTATAATGACACAATCCCCTGGTTATTCTGGTATTCCCCCCTTAACCCCCTGTTAGAGGAGGAACCCAGATCCCCTTTTACTTTTTTAATGTCCCCCTTCTATTTCAATTCTTATGGACAACCCTGAATATTATAAAATGATTCATCTCTAAAATGTTTCTTATGGAACACCAAACTGCAGATTGTCTAACTATAATATCAGGACTATTAAAAAGATTAGAACATGCAGTACTTTTACTAAAGTAGAAGGTACCTTTTGCAGAAGCAATTTTAATTAAATTTATCAAAGTTTTCCTCTTCATATACTAATTTGGCTGTTGTGGTTATGATTTCAGCCGGATTAAAGTACCGGGTACCGACAGATTTTGAAAGGCCTGTAATATGCTAGCACAAATCATGACTCCCATGATTTGATAATGGTCTCAAAAGTATCTTTTAAAAGTGCAACATTGAAATGTATCTGATTACCAGTATAGGATTTTTTTTTTTCTCAAGATTGCAAATTTTCAAACTTGTATGCAATCATTTTTTTTTATTTATGCATAATTTTATTCACAAAAAAGTGAATGGGATTGAGCAGCAGGCATTGCCTATTTTAGCCCTCTCCTTAATCAATTTCATGAGGTGTAGATTTAAAGTTGTACAAATTATGGCTCCCAGGGATGGGGCCACAAAAGGTGTCCAAATTTTTAAAGAGAAACTAATAGGAATTTCTTTTACTTGAGAAAACATACTTACAAATCCATGTAGTCAAATTCATATGGTGGCATGATGCATTCGTCATGATTCTGCACAGAATCAAGTCAGGAAGTGGGAATGGGGTAATTCTATGTTGTGTATTATAGAGAAATGTTATTTAAAAAAAAAAAAAGGCTTCAAGTAGTAAAATTAGTATGGAAATTACCTTTGCATGAATTGCATTGGTCTCTGGACCAAGTGGAGATCTATTTTTAATTACCAACTAGTACAGTGAAATTTGTCAGATCTGGATGTTGTGTATTCTGAAATCTTCCATATAATCTGGAATGTTGTCTAATCCAGCCTATTATCTATGGTATCAGTAGAGTCCACATTGAACAAAATGTGGCTAAAAAAAAAATAGCAGTGTCACTCAGATGAGCAGTAAGGCCCATGGACCTCCGATTCAAACAGTTCAGTAGATGAAACATTTACGGGTCTCTGTAAAGCATGACTTTTTTTTTTTTTATTCCAGATTCGTTATTATTAACATGATTAACCAGCTAAATTGCTCTTCAATCAGTGTGCAAAATTTTTGTTAAGATTTTTAGTCTCTTGTTTTTGGACAACACATATGATAAATCTGTTAAAAACTAGTAGTTTTCCTGCTATCCAAGACTCTTAAATATGGGAGTGTTTTCTGAAATGGAAAAATGGAAGAAAAAAAAATCAATTTCTCTCAGGGACATATATATGTAAAAAATAAATTTCTGTCATTTTGGTGTCTACTTAGCATATTTTGAAATTCAGAAGCACACAAGAGGAAGTATGGGATCTAACTTGTCAGAGACACTGAAATGATCCTGATAGCTCTAACATGGATTGTACTGTAGCTTTAGTTATGTCGGGCGACAGACATCCTAACAAGCCTGATAATTATCGGGTTATAGTACATATGCATAATTATATTGACTGTCTCACTCTCTCTTCAAACTTTCGAAGTGTGTCATTCTACTCGTGTGTATTGAGTTATGGTTAAAAGTGCATTGCGTTCATCAAGAATATAATTTCATTTGACAGACCTGTGCAAGTCGAGATTTTTTTTTGGGGGGGGGGGGATGATTGTGCATGGACTTTATAGACTAATTTATCGAAGAAGAAAAGTGTGCTTCAATCAGTTCTTAATCCTTATATAAAGGCCAAAATGTATCATAAGATCAAGAAATAGGGCATATTTTTATGTAAGATAATGAATCTTCGTTAGCATCACTGCACGTATACTTTTTTAAAACGTGTACGTATTGGAAGTTTAATATGCTACCTTCCATTTACACAGTAATTGATAAATTTAAAACAACCAATGATGCTAAGTAACTTATACTGTCAAAAAAACTGTGAATATATGTACAGATGATGTAGGCCTATATTTTTCTCCTTTTTGTTGTGAAGAAAAATGCATAGTAATTATTGGATTCAAAGTATGTGAGACCTAAAAAAAAAAGAAGAGATTTTAAGACTACTAGATATTAAATGTGGTATGTAATGAACGCGAATGTACAATAACAAGAGGCATTATGTCATAATGTGTGCAGTCGGTGTATATACGCCGTGTAGTCGGCGGCGAGATCAATCAATTTCCTCAAAGGTGGAGACATCGTGCTCTCAGGAATAAAAGGGGAGAATGATTTACATTTTTGGGACCAATCAATAACTCGTTACAGAACTTTACCTGTAAAACGACCTGTCCTCCCCTCGGTAATGGACTGGTCCAGCTGGAGCCAGTCATTCTGGAGTAGAGTAGTATATATATTGGAAGGAATGCGTGCAAATCTAACCACTGACTACCTACAACCGAGCCGAGAGGCCACAAAGGGGGTATTGTCTCTCAAACAATTAGAGAAAAAATGTCAGTAATTATAAGGATGGGATTTTTTCTTATTCATAATCGCTGTCTTTTCCCGGAGACCGTGCAATAGTTCTGACAGGTATATCTGATTGAATACCTTTGTTCTGGGTTTTTGAATGAAGTTAATTTATTGTCCCCGGAAACAATGACAGTAGACTGTTGCCTGCAGGATGAAACCGTATACTCCCTCAAAATAAATTAGTAAATAAATTAATGAGAGTGAAGCAAATTGAGTAAGCATACATGTAACCCATGTTTTTATTAGAAATGAAATAAATCAGATATTAAGCATGCAAAAGTTTTGGACAAGATTTAAAAAAAAAAAAAACTAGTTTGCAATGCATGCATGTCTGCCATGTCATATATTGTAATCTCATAAATATTTGTTATGATAACGCAATATATTGTGTGATAGATAGTTATTTTTTTCAATTTGAGTATTTGATCAATATAATGTTCAATATATTATATGATAAAATCCATTGAGAGAGAGAGAGAGAGAGAGAGAATTAAAGTCGTGGTTGATTAGTTAGGTCAATTTTTGTCTCCCTTGATGTGAATATACATACAGTCCCTGGTATTAAAAGTGCTAAGTTACATTTTTGACTGAAATTTAAATAATAAGTTATAATTAAATTGATAGAGATTTGGATTGCAGCCCTATCAGGAATTCATGGTGTCACCATATAATATTGAATGATTTTTCTTCTCTCTTCCAAGGTTGTGCACATACATATGTACATGAAATAGGGCAATTTAATAACATTTTTATTGCAGCATTTTCGTATACATAAGAAAATTAGACGTATGACTCTAGGTACTTTTTTTTAAGCCGAAACTGTAAAAAGATGTACACATCACTTTACTTGGCTTTGTCTATTTTTAGACCCTTCTGTGGGCGAGGACTGTGGGTCGGGGATGTCGGATCATTGGTGTTCTGTGGCCTACTGGGAACTCCGACAACGGGTGGGACGGTTGTACATCGTACACGAACCTTATCTCAACATATTTCAAGATCTACCTCACGGAAACGGTTTCTCCTTGGGACTTGTCCAAGGCAAAACGGAAGTGGACTGTGTGAAACGGACGCGGGAAAAAATAGGACTCGGCCTCGTTTTGAGCCGGGAAGCAGACGGAGTTTGGTTGTACAATCGGTCCAATTATCCGGTGTTTGTGAACTCTCCGACATTAGATAATCCCAGTTCCAGGACGTCCGTTGTGATTAAAATGAACCCGGGATATTCCATGAATATTTTTAATTACGATATGGCCAGTGTTTTTAGTGCTGTGAAAGAGAGAAATTGTCTGGACGGGCCGTATGATCCTACGTCCATACGAATAAGTTTTGCCAAAGGATGGGGACCTTCTTATCACAGGCAGTTTATTACGTCATGTCCGGCATGGTTAGAAGTACTACTCAATATAAACAGGTGACGTCACGCCCATCGTCACGTGACGTCTGTTGCCATAGAAACATTTTATGTTCATTTTATATAATTAATGAATTATCAGAGAGATCATGTTATTTATAATGTCATAAAACTCTGAATTGTAGGTAGGGAACAAATCTGTATAGTGTCATCGCTACTGTGTAGTGACATCCTATTTTGTTTTAATTAGTAATATAATTTCAATTAAAAATCGGGAGACCTTTTGATTTTAAGAACAAAATCTCTGTTTTTGCAATTTTAAGTAAGATCCCCAGCCCAACTTTTGTTTTAATGTTGTAGTCTGTTTTCACCTTTACCATATATTAGTATTCATTTTACCTCGTGTACTAAATAACTTGTATTTTACATTTTACGGTTAAAATATATTTAATTTATTTTTAAAAATCTGAAATTTTCACATTTGTAGAAAATTATCTGTTTGGAAGAAAAAGAAGCATTTTTATGTAATGGAGTAAGAGAGATAACTCCTTATAAAGCTTCAACACTTTCTTGAAAATACTATGCGATTTTCCATTACACGTTATACCGTTTAACATTGAATATATGTCACAATTATATGTATGTGTACTGTTATAGATATACTTTGTGTATGTGGTGCATTTCAGCTACGACTTTTTTTTTCATGAACATCGTTTTTCCCCACAAAATTCATATTTTCACTGCAAAAAAAGAGTGAATATGAAAAATCATTAAAAAATAGAATGTCACGTGACTGACTAGCCGTATGATGAATGTCACGTGACTGATTAGCCGTATGATGAATATTAATGAGAGAAAATGTTGGTTCTGTTTGAAATAAATGTTAAAGATTTTTAAAACGTCTTTATCATTTCTTAGCATTTTTTGCAAGAGGGAACTAGGGAAACTGAAGAAAAAGAAAGTTTTTGACTGATTTTTTTTTCACTCATAAGTCATACATATATAGATTGATTTAAAGGTAAAATAATAAATCAACTGTGTCATAAATATCTTTCTTTGACCTTGTGGTGAAAACATTTCTTACCCCCACTCCATGCCATTTTTTCCTCGTCATTACTTTGAAGATATTTTTCCCTTCATGATTGGGTGTATCTTGATACATGTGAGCAATTTAATTCGATACCTGGCCCAAAGAACATAAACCGATAATAGACTTAAGTCAAAATTTAATCTATATAACTTTTGAAACAATTTGGAGAATGAAACAAAGTTTTCAACATCTGAACTTAAATTTTATACAAGCCTGGAAATTTTTAAGCACATACGTAAAATAAAACTCAAGATAATTCATATTCAAAAATTTGACTTCACTTATATTCTCAGTTTATGGCCTTGAAGCCTGGACTTTTTAATCCCAGTCACGTTTCCTTTTTCACGTTCTCCTGAATATTGTGACAGATGAGGAATGCAGGTAAAACGTATCAATTTTGTAAAATTAAATTATTAAAACAATTAACCAACTTGACCAACTCTCTTACCTTACTTCCTATTTTGATTACCCTTTTTGTGTTTAGAGTTAAGTAATTAAAGAATATCATGGAGAATCATTTGCATTAAAAAATTCTGACTTCCTTAAATTACACGTACTTTACAAAGTACATTGTACGTAATATATGTGGAAACAGATCCTTCGTTTCTGTGTAAGAGGTCACATTTTAGATTAAAGCAAAAAAAGAAAGTTGCTTTTATAGTCATAGATAACTAAAATTATCATCAGGAAACCATTTTATGAAAGATATAACCTTGACCTTTTGAATTCAAAGTCGATAGAAGTCGTCTTTAAGGAAGCTTTAAACACTATACACTAAAGAGTTCTATTTGTAGGGTAGATTTCTGCAATTAGAGTGATCTGCCCTTAGAAGTAAGATGGAAAAAATGGTTCGTTACAGTTAATTACACAATTTGTAATAAATTAAAATATTCTTAACATTATAATAGACTAAGAATAAGTAATTGAATTCATTGTTTCCATTAATATTCCCAAATTAGACAATGATTTCTGTTCACAAATAGTCCATTGTCTTTGAACATTTTTCCTGTGGAAATAAGGCAGGTTCAATATGTTGAAAATGAACTAAGAAGTTTCAATATGTACATCTTTAAATGATATATTTTTCTAAAGTCTAAAAAGCACTTTTTGTTAATGTTTAGAGCTTCCTTAAACCATACAGAATTATATTTTGATTTGAAACTTCATTGCAAAAGCTTCAAAGCTTTTTGAGATGTCGTCCGGAAACGAAAATGGTACAATTGACAGACCCAAAGTAATAACCCCATCTGTCAGTGAAAGTTGGTGACAAAAAGTCATGGATATTGTGTACGTTATAAACAAAAATTACGGAATAAATGAATGAATTGTTTTGCAAATTTTGCTTCGTGGATATAAAATGAAGCCAAGGGAATTCATTTTCCCCGCTAAAGGATAAAAGAAGTGGGTACGTGGTAGACCTACAAAATACTTGAAAAAAAGAAAGGGAAAGAAAAATTGACCATGACCTTTCAGCTATTGGCCTTTAAGTTCGTGGTGGTCTTTCTCAAGTCACAGAAATTCTCGACATTGTCTTTCATTGCAAATGCTTACAGGAGAACTAATTTTATCATGATTGCAAAGTATAAATTTCTGACCTTGACCTTTGACCTTTTGAACTCCATTGGGGTCCTTTCTAAGTCATATGTTGACTATTTAATTTCATTGCAAAACCTCAATGAGAACTTAAGTTATCACCTCAACACCATTTTATGCACGATTCGAGTTTCTTACTGTGACCATTTGACCTCAAAATCTATCGGGTCCTTTTACACGTAAGTGACAGGGAGTTTGCAATATGTGAAAAATTTGACCTTCATCTTCAACATTTGAACCTCAAAATCAATAGGGTTTTAGGAAGCTGTGATTTAGAATTTCATTTCAATGAAAAGTAAAACTTGGAAAACATATGCGTTAAGGGTTTCAATCACAAAAAATACACAACAAATAAAGAAAAAAAATCAATCATACATCAGGAAAAGAAAATATGATACAACTCTAGAAATACTTTATGTTCACAATATTCCAGCTTAGACTTAATTTAATGAAAAAGCTGATAAAAAACTGTGATCAATCTCGTAAATCCATTAAACAATGCAGGACGTGAACGGACAAAATCACGGACCTTGAAAACACCAGGTGCCTAGGAGGATTAAGCATCCCCTGTCGACAGGTCATTCCCGCCGCGAGCCCTATTTTGATAAGGTAATCCATAGTCTAAATTAGTATAAAAACAATGGTCTAACGATATGTGTGAACACATGTGAGTCAAGAATAGGTTGTTCTTGCAAACAAGATCATATAAGGACCATAGAATTTGCGAAATGCTAACCTTAAACGAGATTTTCCAAAGCCCTGTAACATCAATTTATTTGTCAGCGGCGTACCTCGGTTCAAAAATTGATCGTGCCATGGCCAAAACCAGCTCTTATGTACCGAATTATTTCGGAGATTAAACACTGTATGCAGGAGATAATGGAATATCTCTTAATAGATTGGGTGGTGTTAGTGTTAGTTTGCCATTTACGTCTATATATAGTAAAATATCCAAATATGAAACACTGTGGTGTCTTTTACCGTTTTCTTTCTTTTTTTTTTTCACTGGGATAAATCGAGTCGACATATGAATGAAAGGAACGATCGCGAGTTTTACATGTTATTGATAAAACGTCCTACATTTTACTAACTATGGAACTGAAGGCTAGAACAAGAGGTTCCTTCTCATGTGGAGGTTTTTAAGTAAATTCAGATTCATAGGAATAAACAAACATGGTCAACCTATAAATGAGCACAAAAGCCTGGTCTTTAATTCATGGTGACGGATGAATGCTTTTATAAAGTATTGAAAAGTCACATGCCCTGATGTTATTGATTTTGGGAAAAAATGGATTCCATTTTAAAAGTTCTCTAGGGTTTTTAAGATTGCACATTTGATTTACACTATGCTTGGAATAGTCGCCCTCGTGGCACAGTGGTTAGAGCATTTGCTCTATAGTCGCGGAGTAATGAGTTGATCTTTACATCGCTGGTTCGAAACCGAGGTCATGTGTCGCAGTAGGTTCTGACACGAAAAAGATTCTCACTGCCCAGAGGCCCTAAGTGCAGAGTACAGGTCTAAATTTGCAGCCCTCTACCGGCATGTAGTAGCCTCTCACAATATGAGTAAAAAATTCTCGAAGGAAATTAAATAAGTAAATAAACAAACAAAAACGATTTTAATATACAAGTTAACAGCACAGTTGTTGTAAAGTTTCTCCTTCCCAGTTGAAATTGTTTTATGAGTAAAGGCAGGAGCTAGGTAGGCTATTTACTAGATCCTGCAATGTTTGCCTTGCATTGTAATTGGAAATTATATCTAAACCAAATTTATACGTGGTTTAAGAATGTGCGTAAGATATGAGCATTAATTTTTATAGTCAAGTAATTATTTTTAGGGTGAATCAAAATTTGATCTAGTATACAATGTTTCTATATTACTGCCAATTTCCCCCCAAAGTTTAGACCTATGGTGTTGTGTTCACAGGGTTTCAACAAGAAACGTTACTTATACATCTTGTCTCAATATTTCGTTTACCTCTCCTGTCGGCGATGTATGCTTATAGACATAACAGAGTACAACGTCGACGTCTTTCATCTGTATAATTTTCTCAATATGCTAATGCACTGACAGTATGTTTGACTTCGAATATGCCGAATATGGAGACGGAAATATTGTGATAATCTACCATTAAAAAAGTAATCTCGTTAAGGATATTTTTTGAGACAATGCTTGAATTAAATGACGAAAATCTTCCTGAAGAAGTAAAGTTTGGAGATATATATTTGACGAATAAAATTTGAAATATCATGATGTCCCAGTATCGGTGAGATATCAAAATTTAAGAGCCATTCTCTGTAACGACTTGAACTTTTATATAGGAGCTGTGGCACGCATAGTCTCAGAATTTCTCCAAACTATCTACAATAAAAGTCTTTGATACCGTAAACTCAAATCAGGCAGAAATTGGTTGCTACGTGTCATGGTTACCATGGCAACATGTCTTAAAGTTTGAAAAATGGCATTTTTCAACATGTTCAGAGTCCCACAGTTAACGTTTGCAGCAAAGCAAACAAGTGGCAATGATTGTTTCTGAAAGTTGAAGGCATGATGTCTTAAATGCATGATAAACATGTTTGGTAAATCAACTATTAAATACGTTACTATGGAAACAAAGTATTCAAGTAATAATTTTGCTCATCTAATTTTATGTAATCATACACTTAAGAATAAAAAAAAAATTTAGGTTGAAATGCAAGCAAATAATAGACAAAAGATCCTTGTAACATATACCAAGGAAGAAATATGATATTTCTTATAGGTTGGCAATGGTTGCCATGGTTTTAATACCAAGAAGAGATTTTACGTTTACTCTCTTAGTGTTTAAATCTAATCCTATCTTTTTAAAAAGCATATTTCTATATAACTAATAATCAATTTTTTAAGATGTTCATATGACCCTAATTTTCACATTTCAAAAAATTCAAATTCAATTCTTTAAATAGAGCGTTGCTATGGAAATAAGCCGAAAAAATATGCATAAAAATCTGAAAAATATTCTGTTTCCTTGGATACGTACCCTTGTATGTAGATTCCCAAAACTTTTATGACTGATAATTATGAACAACTAACCTGACTTTCAATTTTGACTGCCACCCAATCTCTAACTGGATGCAAAAAGCTGGCACATAGGGTTTAATATTGGTATAAAATTAACAAAATCTAACATTTTCCCTTCTTGGTTACCATAGCAACAGTGTTGTATTTTTCAACAA